GCTCTGGGCTCTTAGACCTGAGGTCTTTTTAGTAGAAGTGGAGGTACAGGTGGAGTAGGACAGCTTCTCAGAGGAGATGTCTTTGATGTATCTAAGGCCCATACTAATATTTATCTTCATTAAATGGACAGCCTTCTTGATACTGCATAGACTGATTTTTTTTTTTAATTTTAGGATTAGTAAAATGACTATTTCCTCAAGTACAAGTAGCAAGGGCTATTTTTGTTTTGAACTGTGGTTTCGGGGGACTATTCGTCATTATTTTGTCATAATATATGGTGCTAGTCCATTTTTGTTGCAATTCTTCTATTAAGCATGTGTTATTAAAAGTATCCTCCCAAATTAACTAGGTAAGTTTCTTAAAGAGTAGTTATTAAGCCATCTAATTTTAGTGACCTGGGTGTTCCTAATGGTTGTAAATTCTTGTGTTGGAGCTGTCACGTGAAAGGCGGGGCTATGCCCGACCCTTAGAGTGGGGAGATTTGCTCAACCCACAGAGATTTATTTGTCTGTTAGTGCCTCAGGGGAAACAAAACCATGTCTGTCCGACCCAGCCTGTCAGGTATCCCACACGGGAACCCTTCTCCAAACAGATTCACAGGGTCAGAGTGATTCGATTGCCCTTTTTCGGGGACTGCTGGGTAACAGCCTAAGGGAGAACCCCTCAGCAGGCCTTCCCATGTGTTATTCAGCACCTTATAAGGGGCTCACCCCAACAGTTTACAGAATAACATACTTTATTAATACAAACTGTGACAAGTTAATGAGGCTCCTGGTCGTCGGTGACAGGGTCTAGCTGCAAGAACACACTTCAAGCAATCTAATAATACTACAAAGCAAGGCACAAGCACAAACTCTGATACAAAACAATCTACTAATGTATTATAGAGCAAAACATGTGATCCTTAAAGCAGTAATTAGCACATACAGCATAAGTTTCTCCCCCAATAGGTGTCCCTGAAGTGGGGGAAAAAGACATGTTCAGCACATCAGCTGATCCAGCAGTTTTGGTGGAAACTTTCCTCTGCTATTTCCCCATTTCCTTCCTTCCTTTTATACTATTTCTTTAGGTTTAGGTGGAGTTCGAGTGAATGTAAGTCATAAGTACTTAACTGGGTAGTTGTCCTTGGCATCAATCTTTCTTGGTGGACAGATATGGCACGGTCAGAGTGTCACCATGTTCCCCTTCCTGCAGGATGTTTGTGGAGGGAGGTCACAGTGCCTTCACATCGCTCCCCTTTCTGGTGCATTCTCCATAACAGGTGTTTATCAGAGTTTGGGGAACCTTTGTGGGGCATCGTGACCAGGTTTCATCCGAGAAGCAGCAGCTGGGTCTCCTTCTGTAATTCTTATTCTCCTTTAACTTTTAACCCTATCCATTACTCCACAGAAGCTCATGAACTATTTAATATTTTATTACCAACATATAATGCCTAAGAACTCATTCTCTGAGGATACTCTGTAGAGTGAAATGAAAAGAAAAAATATTTCACACCTATATCTAGATATCTCTGTGTGTATATATATATATCTATCTGTATCTATCTCAGCAAAGCTGCTTTTACAGAATGTTTTGAATTAAGCAAAAATTGCTTTAAAACTCACATGGCAATCGTTAAGAAACTTTGAAAGTTGGTGTTTTGATGTTCCCCAAAGCTTGTGAGTCAGTGCTATGAAGATTGGCTTATTTACTAAGAGTTATTAGCATGTGTATTGAAGACCAATACAGAAACTTTGTAATAATTCCAGCTTTTTGTAATAATTCCAGCTTTTTAGCTAGGCATCATGATAAGCAGTCTCTAAAGATTCACATGATAAATACAATCTCAATTCATATTTGTGTCTGTTTTTGTTGTAAATTCAGTTTCACTGAAAATAAATTTCAGTAGAATTTGAGGATATTGATGATGTTTCTCAGAGCCTCATTTTTAAGGTGATCTGATTCATGTTTACATCCAAAGAATCTACTTCCCATATTAAAATTGTAGAGCTAACTCTTGGAGCTACAGGCAAAAAAACATTCTTTGCTAATTTCAGATCCCAGAGAAAGCCAAAATTGCGTCGAATTTGGATGTCAGCCATGCTGTATGACTGCATGGTTTCCATTGACTTTGTTTAGGATTGCATATGACACTTCTGAAATTGGGCATTTAGAGCTGTGGAAATTTCAAGACTGTTTCTTTCAGGTGGATGTGGTTTCTTTACCTCAGCTGTCCTGAAGAGCTGTTATGTAGTGCAACAAACGTGGCTGCAGCCAAAATCTTTGCCAAAGTGATGCATAGGCATTCATAAGGTGCTTTCTGGTGATAAGTACTGTTGACTTACTCTTACTACTACCATTTAATACCACGTGTATGTTAGTAGGGATTTATGTCACCTGGACAGTCTTTTGAGGGGGTTGTGATTTTCTTGCACAGGTTACTATTTTTTAAGGATTAGGGTCTCCACTCCCTTCTTACCCTCCTACCTTTTCCGTAAATACTTCCCAGTTGATACTGGAAGGAGATTTGCAGTCCTTTGAGAAGGAGAGGATGTGTGAAATGTGTGTTTTTATGACAATTTGAGAAATGTCTATGGGGGTAGAGAGAACAGAAGTTGTAGTCTCCCGTGGAGCAGACAGCTGACGATCCATGTATCTGATACTTTTATTTACTTTCCTGCACAAGAAGAAAAATGTCCCCCACAACAACTGCAGCATCGCATGGTAACCAGGCTGCTGCTGAGACACAAAGCAGCTCTTAAAGCATGTGGGCTGTAGAGTTCAGGGATAAATCACCTCCAGTTCAGCTCCTTCTGGACCTCAGCAAAGGAGCTTGTTGTGCCGTAGTGGATTTTCTTGGGCTTCTCTCACAGTTGGGTTTGTTTTGTCTGTGCTGAACCTTATTTTGATCTCATTGCTCTTGAGTTGCGTTAGTGTGCTGTTAACAGCTGCTGAGGAATAACTTTTGGTTTACACTGGGAAATGAGGAATGAAGTTTTGGACTACTATTTAATAAACATTTAGTTTAAAGAAACAGTTGCCTCTAGATTTAATGTTAGAGTGCAGTGTTCACGTTGGTGGCGACCTGTGCCACACAGTTGGGCCAGCAGACCAGTTGCCAGTTACTTGTTAACGTCAAAATGAATTCACTGACATCAGTTGACATTGTCAACTGCTGTGGAGAAAAAATAATTTTTCCTCAGTAACTATGGATTTTTTTATTTTTATTTTTATTTTTTTACAAACTGAATTCTGTAGTCAGTGTAAATAATTTATTTTTTTTTTTTAAAGAATTATTTTAGACATTGTGGTCTGGTGACGGGAGAAATAATGTGAGTACTCTGCAAAATGTGATTCAAGTAGCTGCTGCAACATTTTTGGCAGGTTATATGGTACTGGACGTGGCATTTGGTTCATCACAGCATGAAAGAAGGCACAAATGTCCTGAGACACTGTTTCCTCAGAAGCAGCACCAACCCCTCCACGTGCTCCTTGCTCCCCTTAGGGGCCTGGCTCAGAATCTCCTGAGTCCTCTCTGAGAGCCATGGAAGATATCCTGAATGTGATTGTTTTTGCTGCCCTTCCAGGATAGTAGGAAAAGTCTAAACCAGCCTTTCTCTGCCTCATCAGAAACAGTGGTAATTCCAGTTGGGGCAGATAGTGGTGGCTGTGGATGGGCTAAGAATGTCTACCCCAGCAGCAGGCAGGGGTTGGTACTTTATTCCAAGGTCAAGCATTTTAGATGTCAACCAACATCTGTTGTCCTGCATGAAGTCACTCACCAGCCCTTCAGATCTTCGTGGAGGAGGTTCAGTGGTACTGGTTGGCTGTCAGTGAGATGAAAGGAGTGTTTTGACTGTTTGCTTTTTACCTGAATTATGTAGAGAGGTAGCACATAGCTGCTAGAGAAAATTGAGTGGAAGACAGCAATCAGGGAGGGCTCTGGTAACAAGTCTTACTGAATTGCTCGTTATACTAAAAAAAAAAAAATAAAAAGTCAATAACAAAGTGGAAAGTAAGAACTTGGGTTATGTCACAAATTGTTAGGCAGTTATTAGCTTAATTATCAAACTGAATTGTTTTCGTGCTGCTTTTATTCACATTGAGTAATAACTAGCTTCAGGACTGGATTATCTGTGATGGTTGTGTAGGTGTGAACTGAGGTGATGGCACCAAGTTTGCCACTTACTGCTCCTTTGTGAAGAAAAAAGCCGAGCAGGTCTGCATACCTATCATGTAGGCACTTGCTGCTGGCCTGTCTCTGCTCACGGACTGAGAATGAAATCTGCTTAAAACTATTACCTCGAGGACTTTCGTAGGTTTTGTAGAAGGAAAACAAAAAGCAAAAAACAAGCAAACAAAAAACCACACACACACACACAAAAACTCAACCCCCTCCCGAAAAACACACACACACTCCAACCCCCCCCTCCAAACCAAACAAAAAAACCTGTGGTGGGGCTAGGACATGTTTCTGCTATTCTTGTCAGTTGTTCCAGAAGCCATATTTGCCAGGAGCTATTTATTAAGTCCTAATGCATGTATTCTTTTTTTTTTTTTTTTTAAGACACTGTGGGATGAAAATTTGCATGCTGGGTGGTCACTTTTTTTTTTTCCCCTATGCTGTGGTTTTAGAGCAGTCTTAATTATCTGAATTAAAACTGTATGCACATCTAAGCTGGTAAAAATTAGTACTGGGGATAACAGTACTGTAGAGCCTCTTCCATGCGTGCCTTCCCTCTAGTTTTACAGTATTTATTTTTGTTTAGAGGTTTTGTAAAACTTGATTTAGTCAACTTCCCTTTTTGTAGGTCTTTGCTGCAACTGGATTCTCAAATTACAGTGATTTGAAAGTTTAGCATGCAAATTTCTGGAAAGAGATAATACTGTGTGATACTGGAATATTTTTTTCTGTTACTCTACCATCTGATTAGGTTTTCTTCTTCTCATCCTTTTCCTAGAGTGTAAAAATTCCTTACTGGTTATTGATAAATCTGTATTTCCTCTTCTCTAGAGACATCAGCATGAATAACATCACAAGGCTACCAGAAGATGCCTTCAAGAACTTTCCCTACTTGGAAGAGCTGTAAGTATTTCACACGTGTTAAATATGGCTGTGTAAAGTGGAAGGTGGGTGGAGAAACAGTGTTGAGGTGAGCTGTGAACAGAAAAAGCAATTATACTTTAAAAATGTAATCCTGTATATGTTTGGAAACCGGAACAGTAAATGCTACTTACAAGGGACTTTTTACAGTAATTATTTTAATCATGGCTAGAGTGATGACATATAATAATTACAGTGTTATCCAAAGATAACACAAGAGGTGTGTAATTACCATTGTTTCTGAAGGAGCTACAGTATAGCTGTTGCATAAGTTCCATGAAATAATGTTGCTTCACTTAGTGAGCAGCTGGCTTCCATTGTCCTTGTAGGCTGGAGATGCAGTGCTCACAAGCCCATCCTGACCTAGATCAGAAATTCAGCTTCTGTAGTACAGGGCTTCTTGCTCTTAGTTTCTCTGGCAGAAATCTTTTCTCCACTTCCCACCCCCTTTTTGTCCCACTCTCTTTTTAGATTTGTTTTGTTTTACTTAGGTGATACTTGGACTTCTGAATCCTTGAGCTGCACCAAGGCTCATGTGCCCAGTGCTTTGCTGAACTGAAGTCATACTGAGATGCCTTTGCAAAGTTGAAGCAGCATAGCCCTGAGTTAGGTTGGGTTTCAGAGTCAATAAACAGGGAGGCAGCTCTGACGTTCAATTACTACTTTAGTAAGTCCTATTATATGGCATGGGACTTCTGTGTGCCCTAGTTTCCTTATCTGTGAAGAGAGGATAAGGCTAATGGTTCAACCTTTGCTAAAGAGATTTAAGAACTTCCAGTACTAGGCAATAGATAAGACAAAACTACTGCAACCTGCATTGCTTCTCTTGCATTTTCAGTGATAAAGGAGCATTTCTTATATGAAAGTGCATTTAAAATGCAAAAGTAAGGCTGTCTCTTTGTGACTTTGGCAAGACTAGGACTATGAATGCTGTGTTGAGAGGTTTTTTTAATGAAGGCACCTTAGGGAAAGAACAGCTCATGTCCCCAAAGAGACAAACCCTTATGAGGTAGGGAAGTGGTGTCCTGACTTTACCAATGAGGGAGCAAGCAAAGAATGAAAACCATTTGTAGAGGGCAAAAGGATAAATTAACCCTATAGCAAAACTGCAGATAAAGCCCTGAACCCTTTGACTCTGGTAATCTACCACTGCACCTCACTGGAACAAAGATACTGAGCAATTGATAAGGGATGGATTGCCTGCTGCTGAAGAAAGACTTGGGTTCCTGAAAGCTTCTCTAGTTTTATTTTTTGCACCTCAGCCTCACTGGTTGCTCTAATAAGATGTTCTACCTCTCCTTACAGTTTTGATCTCTCTTATATCCTGGTAATGTAGCAGCTACCATTACTAATGCACTTAAATACCTCCATTTTCTCTGGTTCTTAAGTAGTTTTGACTCAGGTCAGTACAATTCTGAAGCACAGTTGAGCTTATTTATGTCAGATGAATTGTGTGCGATATCTTATTTCATGCTTAACAGGTTCTGGTTTACTCCCTCCGATTTTAGGTGTTGCTTAAATTTGCAGTATAGCTGAGAATGCTTCATGAAGAAAAATAGATTTTCAGATGGTGCATTTGTGGAATTGACAGGATTTAAGAAAAGCTCTATGGCATGAGTAGTAAATTGGAAAAAAATAAGCCTAGGAAGACTTGGTTGGCTTCAGAATATATACTAGCCAACATTCCCTATGTGCTTCATGATGTGCTGCTGTGTGTTTTGTTGAATTAGATTTGTAGTCCCCCTTTTTTCTTTTTTAAAATTCTTCACAGTCATATTTCACGCCAAAATTTGAAAAAAAACGCAAACAATTCTCTTTTCCCAACTTATATGATATGGGAGACTTATTTTTTTTTTTCCCAATAAGTAATTAAGCAATAAAACCTAACTGGTGGGTGTGCATGTTGTGTAACTTCCATAAACCCTGGGGTGTGTCAGGAGGTAAAGAGAAAAGGCAGAGCCTTCAGCCATCATCTGCTGTGCTTATTGCCTAAGAGCCATTTGCTACATGTACCTCTAAATCCAGCTTTTTAGTTTGAAAAAAAAATAGGCTAGCATTAAGCTCAGAATTGTGTGTGAACACCCAGAAGCTGTAAATCATTTTTAGCATGCTTATTTGATGTGTTAAAGCAACTTCTGGGGGGAAAAGAAACTCCAACCAAAACAATAAAACCCCCCCAACAAGTCAAGTCCAGATTCTCTTTGTTTCAGCTCACATTCATCTTAAATGGGAACATAATGAAATAGATTCAAAGAAAAGCATTTCTTTAACAGAAATGACCAGCACCAGCTATGGCATGTTTTTGCTTCATTCTGTCCATTCCTTTTTCTCTGTGGAACAGGGTACAAAAATCTTTCAGCCTTTATTTTTGGTGGTTGTGAACAGAAACAACTATTGTACTTCCCACTGTACAACCACAGTATTTCTTCTCTACTCTGTGATTTTCAAACTTTCTTCCTGGATTTTATTTATAGTTGAACAGATCCAAATTCTGACTGCCAGGCATTAACAAAGTTGCTTTTTCAGCACACAAAGCTGGATGTGAGTCTCCACACCAAAGAAAAATAACTTAGAGAAAAAAGTTAAAGTGGTGTTGAAATCTGGGGTAGGAGTGACTTTTCCATCAAGTTCTCCCAAGAATTATATGTCTAAAGCAAATGAAAATCCCATAAACTAATGGGAATGCAGTAAGTACCCACACCAGCATGGACTCTAGTAGGTCTCCATCAAGGAGGCAGCCCCAGACACCTTTATCTTCCTACCATACTTTAGCCCTGCCATTGTCAAATGCTCTGGCCAATTAGCCCCTGGCAGAGTTAGTTAATTAATATTGCAAAATAGTATCACAGGATTTAATTGAATGTAAATGCCAGGCAATTAGATGTATTATGTAGGCAACTGAATTGCACATATGGAGCAGCTGAGATTAAAAAATGCAGCAGGAGCCGCTTAAAATGAGGGTTGTCATTTCCTCAGTGCAATGAATTATTTGGTAGTCTGGAGAGACTCCAGGGGATCATTTTCTGAATCCTAAAAAGAACACTGGTGAAAGAAGCAAAGTACCAGCCTTGGGAAAGGCTGGCTGCTGGATTCAGAGGTGCCTCCTGCGTCACCAAGGGGGGAGCGAGTCGGGCCCTTCGTTGTGTCAGTCCCGGTCTGTTTTTAGATGTGCTGAGCTATCCGAGACACCCTCCCTGCAGTGACAGGGCTGACACAGCCAGGGAACCCAGGGCTGCTGTGAATGGCACTTGGGGCCAGGTGGAGGAAGACATCTGAAATGGCACCAAAGGGCTGTGTTCAGGAGACTGACTCCCCAGAAAAGTATCCAGCTGGCGTGTATAACCTTGAGTTTTTGTGCCTCTGAGATAGTACCCTATCTGAGTATTACCTGCAGGTACACACAAGGGGGTTCCAGCTTGTCCATGGGTGGAATCCACCCACTGGGTTGTGTGCTCCACGTACCCCCATTCACAGCCTCATCATGCATGTCGCTGCATAGCACACTTATCATATGTCTGTAGGATTCTAGCACTATTTATAAATGTTATAAAAATTCTCCATGTCTGTGTAACTGATACCCATCTGGAAGTAATTTGCAAATTATTGAAATGGCAACGGTCAGAGTCAGTGAGGAACAGACCACCAAGGGTTTTGCCTCAGCAGTTACTGACGTGTATTCTCCAGAAAGTGCTAACGTAAATATGCTGCAGCCCTGAACATGATATGGAAGCTAAGAATCCTTGAAGAACTTGGCCATGATTTTCTAACCACACCTTAAAGTATTTATAGAAAGCCAGAAGAGGAAAATACAGCTAAATAATGCAGTGTTTTTAGAAAGCAGAAACCATTTTCCAGGCTGTGTTATGTTTTGATGGCCTTTTAAAAGGTGTTAGTCCCTTCTAGTTATCTTAAGTAGTCTGAAGGATTTTAACTATATGATTGCCATTCACTGTAATTGTGAATGATCTGCTAGCTCATTCACAAAAAGGCACTCTCTCATCAAGGAAGGCAAATCAAAATGTTTTTTTTCTTGTCCAGTTTTCCAGAAGTTTCTTCAGAAACCTGAACCACTTGAATAAAGCAAAAGTATCCTTGACTTAATCACCTTTTAACCTTGTTTTGCTTTCCACTCTTAACCCTTTAAAGTGTTGTTGTCTCATTTGCCCTGCACTCATGGGCAAGGTTTAGATGATAAGGTCTTGGCTGTCTGGCTGCTGGTCCACATGAGAGGTAGAGCAAGCTGTCCTGTGTCTGTAGGTTGCCTCTTACAGAAGGATGTGTTGTCCTAAGTGGAGCACTGGTCACTTCCCAACCAGTCAGCCTTGGGGCAGGACTGTGACCTTCTCCAGCAAGGGTCAGGGAGGATACTCTGACTGCTGTGATTTTGAAGACCATATCGTGCCCAGTAATACTGCAAGGAAAATAATCCCTCCTGAAAGCACCAATGCCTCACTTAACTTCCAGATGTGTACTGATACCAAGATCTGTTGTCGAGGGCTGTTGTGTTTCTGTTGTGTTTGCTCATACATGATGTGAAACAGTCTCTCTTCTGTGTCACTACCCTCAGACACTGGGGGGTTTTTTATCAGGTGGGGGCAAAACTTTGTTATGTTTTTTATTTAATGGCTGATTGAAAATGGTTCAGGAAATAAAGTGATAAAAGGAAGACTTAGATCAATGAAAGTTTTCTCTTTTCTGAAACACTAATGCTGATCTGCTTTCTGAGAGGTGAATAAACAGAGCGAGACCGCACACATGGAAACTGTAATTTTTGCAAGAAAAGAAAGAGTACTGCAACCGAGTATTTGCTCGACTATTTAATGATATCCATGCTGATTACAGCAGTTAAGAGGTCTTGCTTAAATATCTCCTTACTTCCCCTCTCCCAGCCAGTGTCTCTGATCTTGGCTTTTAATTGACAAAGTATATTTTAGGAACATAAGGATTAATTAAAATGCATACTGGCAGTGAAAATGAGGTGG